CTCTCTCTCTCTCTCTCTCTCTCTCTCTCTCTCTCTCTCTCTCTCTCTCTCTCTCTCTCTCTCTCGTTGCTTTCTCTCTCTTGGAAGATCTATCCTCACCATTTGGTTCTCATCAGAAGATATATCCTCACCCTTTGATTCTCATCGTGCCTCCCTCATGACGTTCTATCCGGCTGCATAATACCTGCAGTTATATCGCAGTCCATGTGTACATCTCGGCCTAAGTCGCCAGTTGGCTGGTTATGCCCACACTTCAAGAGCCGCATCTGTCGTATTGTGATATGCAATCCTAAGCTGGAAATACACATATGCTGGAGGGTGGCTCCCTTCATCTCCTCCTCCTATTCCTCTCCTCCTCCTCCTGCAGGAGAAGAAGACTCCACAAGAAGAAGAAGAGGAAGAGGAGATGCTCAATCTATCACACAGCAGTGGGAGTCTTTGGTGCATGATTGCTGTAGCTCCCTCTGTGTTGTATATGCCTCCCCCAGCGGGGAGAATGTCTCCCAAACAGTGATGGCTGACTCGCAGTGCAAGAGCCCATCAACCTTGCATCACAGAAATGTGTGGCAATGGATGAAAAGGTTAGAAAAACGACCTTGTCACTCACAGTCTTGATGCATTGGTCCTCACCATGAGCTTCCGGCAAATCATTGCTGCCAGTTCCTCGGCATTATAGCTTTTCCCCAGGGGTCTTCGGAAGGTAGCCTCGGATTGCCAGAGTCCATCACCCTTCTGCCGCGGGATGATGTGAAAATGCATATGGAACACGACCTGACCGGCGTTACTGCCGCTATTCACGAGCAAGTTAAAAGAATCGCACCCAGTGGCCTCAAGAATGGCAGTGCTCAACCTAGGAACGAGTGCGCACATTGCTGCTGCCACTTCAGCGGGCGTTGTTCTCAGGGAAGAGAAATGGCCCTTTGGTATAATCAGAGCATGACCTGGTGCAAGAGGGTCCTTATCCAGGAAGCAAATACAAACATCATCTTCATGAAGCTTGCAGGCTCTCCTGCGACCACGTGCGATGTCACAGAACACGCAGCTGTGAACATCACGGTCAAGCATCCCACGCAGCTCCTCGCCCTTGATCATGATAGCCATAGATGTTTCCGATGGCACAATTTCGGCCTTCCCAACATTCGTTCCCCGTTCTGCTGGAACCTGCCATGCATTGTCCCTCTCCTGGGTGCCACTGCTGTTGTCGTTATCTTCCCCTTCCGCCCCCTTAGCACACTCCACTTCCTCCCGCCCTCCATCGCTTGCCATTCGGTTCGGCGTACCTGATGAGCCTCCACACTTACCATCCTCGGCGATGTCAGGAATGTTCTCTTGCTTGTTCATCGAGCGCTCCCCCAAAACTTCCTTTGCTCCCTGCTGCTTGATGTGAGCAGCAGCTCTCTTTCCGCCTGAATCTAATCCAGCTCTATGACAATCCGAAGCTGCTGACGACGTTGCCACGCTGTCCGAGTAGTTCATACGTCCATGTCGTCAATCTGCCATCGTCTCTGCGAAGTTGACAGGTCATCAGGATGGCACAGCTCTGCAACCTTGGCAGGTCAGCAAGCGCTGCGGCGATGGCACAGCTCTGCAACCTTGGCAGGTCAGCAAGCGCTGCGGCCAGCTCACTATCTTCATGTGGACGTTGTCAGGCAGCATGCAAGTAGTTCTGCTGATGCAACAAATGCCATGAGGATAACATCAACCCACCCACCCATCCATCCATCCATCATCTCAGCTGGTCAGGCTGTTGGCCCATGGGCTTATCAGCCATTGCAGTGCACAAAGTATGTCAAAGACCAAGAGCAGCGGCACAGAAGCAAAACAAAGGAAAAGATGTTCACAATCTGTTCATGATTATTATTGCAGCCAAAAGAAGGCATCATCACAGATTATCCAAGAGGACCATCATGTCTCAGTCTGCTGGCGCTGAAATGGTGTTGTTTGTCTTTCCACTCTTTTTGTTGAAGGCGACATGACAACAAACAAGGACCAAGTGTCATTGCGACCAACTTCCCTTCTCGCTCTAACGTGAGATTGTGTCAGCGATGCAAAATAGAAGAGGAAATCTGATGAGCAGCTTGCCCCAAATTTATGATGAGCCGCTCTGATGGGAAAATACAAAGGTGTGCCTTGTCGTTAGGTGAACGCTGCATTCCAGCACAGCACCCTCATGTGACTACTGAAAACATTGAGCTGGCAGGCATGCCTCTGCCTGTCACCCCTTGGTTTCCGCCGAGCAGGAGAACTAAAGATGGAGCTCCACCTACTGATGCCAGCTGATAGATTCTCCTATCGTCCTCACCCGAATTGACCGCCCGGTAATTATGGCTGTAGCTGGACTGGGAGTTGCACCAAATACAGCTATAATGACTGGCCGTTCTATTCGGGTGAAGACGGTAGTAGAGCTCTGCACTATGATACTGGTACCTTCTTTATAGGCAGCTCCCCACGGGTGGGCAGGCAGGTGGGTGGGTGGGTGGGTAGGTGAGTGAATGAGTGGATGAGTGAGTATGTGGGCGAGGGAGGGAGGGAGGGAGGGAGGGAGGGAGCAAAAGCCTCAATCTTAGATTTGTCTTGTACCTATAGCTGCGAGAATAAATAATAGCTCCGTTCTCAGATTCATCACATACCGATAATTAGCAGAGCAAGAAATAGTGGAAGGCAGTCCAGTGGCTAACTGCGAGCTGGTATTAGGACGACGCGGGTCGGAGCTGGGGTGGGTCGCGCCGCCCTGTAACCCAGCGGTTGGGGGTGTGAGGCCTGGAAGAGCCTGGTATCTTGGATATGTGGGTCGAGGCAGCCGTAGGATAGTCGGCTGATAGCGTTGGGGCAGCAGGTTTTTGTTTATATTGGCTTCCAGATAATCCTAATGGGTTCTCATTTTTCATGAGTAAGTTTGTGGGTTCTCATTTTTCATGAGTAATTTTGATTTGTTTTTTGGTGGTCGTGAGATCGCTTCAGGATTCTGCGGGCTTCTTGCCACTCACTGTAGGCTTCTCTGATGTAGTTATATTCATAGATCTGTGGCGGTTCGATGACAGAACGTCGCGGTTGGCTGGTGTTGGAAATAGAGGGTGGGATATCAAGCATCCTACTAGTGAGGCGGCTAGCTGGTAGGATGGAAATAGGGTATAGCAGCAGCAGAGATGGTGGCTCTGCTGCAGTAAGTCTTGCCGGAGTGAGGAAAAGAGGATGGATGGGGGTTTTCGAGACGTTTCCTGAAACTTGGCCTAGGTGAGTGGGAGAAGAAGGTTGGATATCAAGCGTCCTACTAGTGAGGGGGCTAGCTGGTAGGATGGTAATATGGTACAGCAGCAGCAGAGACAGTGGCTCTGCTGCAGTAAGACTTGCTGGAGTGAGGTAATGAGGATGGAGGGGGGTCTGAATCTGTTCCTGAATTTTTGCCTATTTTCGGTAGCTTGTTTGTATCTCTTTATCTAGCTAAAGCCGGGTAGTGGCCCCGGTACTGCAAATTCTCCATTTTTTTCAAAATCCTATGTAATTTTCTATATGGGACACTGGGCCCGGTTCCCAGCACGTGTTGCTCCCCACGAATAGATTGGAGCTTTGTTCCCATTTTAAAAAAAAAAGAAAAAAAAAGGAGGAGGAAGAGAAAGAAATAAGCTGATCAGCAAGCCAGGCAGAGCACGGAAATTGATTCAATAGACCGACATGCGCACCCATGAGCACAATCTGTTACAGATGTCAAAGACATCATTATAAATAGATAGGTACACCCATGAGAACAGACATAGGTACATTCAAGAGCATAGTCTATTCCGCTGGCAGAAGAAGCAATAGCATTGATCTCAGATTTTGTCACGTACGTCATAATTGGCAGAGGAGTCAACAGTATCCATCTTAGAATAACCACACGTGACAGTTTCCCGTCATGCAGCTCGCCCCCCAAAACCTTAGCCTTGTTTGTGGGCTCGGGAAGGGAAGCTGACAAACAGCTTCGCTTCGCGCCTTCCGACTCTTAATTGTCCGGAATCAATCTCACGYGTAGCTAGAGTATTGATTTCCTGACCTTGCACTGTGCTCAGCAGACGCTTCGCGTCTGATCTGATGCCAGATAAGAGAATCGCAGATATCTGGAAAAAGGCTAGAGGTGTGTCTTGTCTAGGCTGAGCACTTCGTGCCTTCTACCCACAGGCCTACCGTCTTCACCTGAATGGAAAGCCTGGTCATTATATATATCTATATACAGGGTTACCTGACCGAACGTTCGGGGGCCCCTGGGCTGGCCCCCGAACGTTCGGGCGTTCGGGGTCCCGTTCGGGGGCCCAACACCTCCAGGTTCGGCCCCAGCCAAAATTAATTTCGGGGCCTAAAAATAAGTTTTTTTTTTCTGAATTTTTTTTTGTGAGTTCTCTATGTTGTAACCTACACGCCGACAAATTTTGAAGCGATTCTGCTAAGCCAAAAAAACATTAAAAATCGTCAAAGATGGGGGTGTCAAAACGTGCTCGCCCACTCACTATTTTGTTTTTTTTCACTTTTAACTTTTTGTTTTCACTTTATATTGGGACCTAAAAAAAAATATTATTTTTTGAAAAGAAATTAATGAGTTATATATTATGTAAACTACATATCTGTAGGGCATTTGTCAATGCCAAAAAATAATTAAAAATCGGCAAAGATGGCGGTGTCGAAAAGGTGCTGGCACACTCACTCATTTTAATTCTCTTTTTATTTTTTCTTATTTTTATCATAGTGTTTATTTTCTGTATTCGATTTTCAATTCAAATTTGGTAAAGAATTTGGATGTAGTGCCCAGGCAAATGTTGTTTAGTTTATTTTCCTCCATAACATATGTTTTTTTCGGAATTTTTTGAAAACTTTTTTTTTTTTTTTGGTCCGCGATCGGCCCGAACGGCCGAACGCCTTCCGAAGGGGTCCCGTACGTTCGGGCGTTCGGCCCGTCCCGAACGCCGGCAACCCTGTCTATATATATATGATAGTCTACTTTGATTTTGGTTAAGGTAGATTATCATTTACAGTGTAATCAGTGAGGGGATTCTGCAGACTGTTGAGGGTTCAGCCTCCTGATGAGTCGGTGAAACTCCGACGAAACAGTTTGTCACAGCCCCTCGTTTGTTGT